ATTTCTTGGCACAACGTGGTAAGCATGTCTAGTGCAGCATCTCTTAGCTGAAATATGTCAATTGCGATGCCATCTATACCTGGGGCCTTATTTTTTGCCATTTCCTTCAAAGCAGCCTGAACTACTTCTTTCATCATCATAGGCTCTTGCTCATATGTTGTTTCATGAAATTCTTCTGTGTCTGCCAATTCCTTTTGATACAGTGACTCAGTATATTCTTTCCACCTTCTTTTAATACTTCCTGGATCATTTAATATTCTGCCGAAAGCATCCTTAATTATAGCAACTCAAGGTTTGAATTTCTTCTTCAGTTCCTTGAGCTTAAGAAATGCTGAGTGAGTTCAGCCCTTTTGATTTTCTGACTACAACTCCTTGCACATTTCATTATAATATTTTACTTTGTCATCCTGTGCTGCCTTTTGAAATCTTCTATCCAGCTCTTTAGTATCTTGAATTCTTCCTTGTGTTTTGGCTTCTCTGTCTCCAGTGCAATTTTCAGAGTCTCTTCTGACATCCATTTTGGTCTTCTTTTCCTCTTATGTCTATTGGAAACTATTATACAAAAAAAATCCTTTACTAATAGAAAAAACCCACACAGAGACTTTATTATTCCCCATCAGGGCAGGTCTTCCAGGGGCAGCAGGAGGCGGCTGTGAGGGCAGGGCTGTAGAAGCTGGGGCAGTCCTGATTGCCGGCGATGAGGGGCTTCCTTAGGACCACGATGACTGAGTCCCCACGCTGGAACATCATAGAGATATAGTGGTCCCTGTTGACGGGCTTGGACTTCTTCTTGCCCTTGCCATTCTTGGGGATCTCAGTCCACGTGTCCTTCACATTCTCTAGCACCATGGTGCAATGCCTGTCGAAGACCTTCACGCGGCTCAGGAGCTTCTTGTTGTGACAGTTCATGAGCATTTCTGTGTTGTTCTTGACTGACTGCGTGAGCACGGAGAGCGGGCCTGTGTGAAACTCCTCCTCCTCTTGCTTCTGCAGCTCCTCTGGGGTCATCTCACTCTTGGGCTTGTTGAGGAGGCTCATGGTGCTGGCTGTGGTCTCGGATTGCTCCCATTCCTATATACAAAGAATTCTTAACATTTGAACTGAAGAGATTAAGAGTAATGAACATATATTGAAGGGTCTAAAAAGCAGATTTCTTTAACAATAGAGGACAGGGAAATTTCTCTTATACAGATGATCAGCTTTTTGCAGACTTAATTTACATATATTATAAAAAGGATTTATCATCAGCACATGAATTTAAGTTCTTCTATGTAAACTTGAAGGAGCCTGTGACACAGTGTGTGATGTGGTAGCACTAGCCACTCTGGGAGAAGGATGGGCAATCTCTTCCCGTGAGTATTTAGATCTTCATTATATGGCCTATTGGCAAGAAGCTCTGCTGCAATCCCAAAGGCACGCAGTTTGAGGCCACCTGCTACTCTGAGAAGGGAAGATGGACAGTCTCCTCCTGTGTAACTGCCTCTGAAAACCTTCTGGGTGGTCAGTGATGTGTCAGTTCCAACTCTATGGTACAAAACAACAAACCCAATGGAGAGTGGATGTGAGTTGGACTTCACAGCCATAAACTTGGGGAAAGGAAACTTTACTTAGGGAAGTAAACTTGGGTGAGGCCAGCACCAGGGCTTATTCTTCTTGCAGGGAATTCTTCCCTTTTGCAGTGGTTGGTCCCTAGGTATTTGTGACCTTGTCATTTAGAGTGAGACTCCAATGTAGGGGTGAAGTAGGAGTTTCCCCCATGGACCTAAGTAACATTCTTCTTACTTAGTAGTATACTCTTCCTTAGCCAGTCGCAAGATCAGCCACTGTTGTTTTTACTCTTCATTGAGGCTGTAGATCCACACAGCCCCTGGGTGGTACACATATTTTGAGCTTGACTGCTAATCAAAAGGTTAGCAGTTGAAACTCATCAGTCCATGAAGAAGGCTTTGTGATGGGCTTCTCTAAAGATTACAGCAAAGAAAACCCTGTGGAGCTCATTTCTACTCTGTAACAAGTGAGTTGGCATCAACAGCAACAGATCTGGTTTTTTTGTAAGTGCCGCAGGTAGACGTATAGTCTTGGAGCATTGTCCTCAGGACTCCTCAGCCTGGTTTCTGTCTTCGCTAATCGCCTTGTGTCCAGTGCTCCCGTCCTTACTTGCCGTCACTGAAGGACTTGAAGCCCTCAGAGTCCGTTTCTGATCATCCCGTCCTCCCAGGTGCTGGAATTATACTGCTTTCCTCTTCTTTCCCTTTCTGAGTTCAACTTCTCTCTTTCATTAATTTTTTATAAAGTTTAATTTCTACCTTTGTCAGATTTTGAAAGAAAACTATTTCCCCCCTTGTTTGAGCCAAAGTCATCAGTCACAACATCTTTGTTGTTACTGTGCATTGTTTAGTTGGAACTGATTCATAGCTTACATTCCAGTAGGTTCTCAGAGGCAGTAAATCACCTGGGAGGAGATTGCTCATCCTTTCATGGAGCATCGGGTGGATTCAAACTGCATACCTGGGGGTGGGTGTGTGTGTGTGTGTGTGTGTGTGTGTGTGTGTGTGAGAGAGAGATTTGTATTCCATTCCACTAATCGTATTTTAGGAAGCTTTGCTGGCCTAGTGATAAGGAGTTGCACTGGCAATACAAAGGCACATGGTTCAAGCCCATGAGCTGCTCTGCTGGACAAAGATGGACAATCTCTTCCCTTGCGATTTATAACTCCTGAAGCCCCATTGAACCGTCAGCCATGAGTTGTTTCCTGACTTGACAGCACATAACAACAATCTTTTTTTTTAATGATGCGATTCCACTGTGTCCTCACTCTCCCGCTATCTCACTGAAGTCCTTATTGCACTATCCTATTGGTTTAAAGACTCACTTCCATTTCAGAAGGATTAAATGAGCCAGTGTTGGCATGCATCCAGAGGAGAGCTGTGCTCCACAGGGTTGTAGATGGCTGTGATCATTCAGAAGTAGATCACCAGCCCTTCCCTTCTGAAGCACTTCTGGCTGAACCTGCATCACTAACCTGCTTTTTGATCAGCAGCTGAGTGATTGCACATTTGTAACCAAGAACGTCTCAGAAATACTGTACTTTGAGAAACGAATGTGCCTTTTTATAACGCCCATCCCTCCTAGCTCCTCAGTTTATAGCTAAACACTAGAAAGTAAAATAATAGGGAGGCGTACTTTCTCTTTATGTATTTGGGGGGAAAGCACAACAAAAAAAATCTTTTCTTTCTACACTTTTTTAATATTTGAATTTTTTTTCCTACTTTCCTTCGCCTTACTTATCATCTCTATTAACCTTCCAGGACTGATTTCTTTCTGTGGATTTTTATATTAGTGGTCTTAAACCATTATGGTCTTTTTGTGATTGACTTTATCAACTCAACATTATTTTTTCTAGTATCATCATTTAATAAAGAGTAGGTGTTATCTTTCTCGTCGTTTATTTTGAATGGTGTCTCTATTTTGCATATAGTATATATTTATGTATGGTTACTTACATACTGCATTTTAAATACAAACGCAACTCCCAAGGTCCTGATTGCTTAAACAAAAAAGAGGCTTCCAGCCCACAGGTGATTGTCAGCGAATTCTAGGAATAATACCAGAGCACTTTATTGTGCTCATGCAAAACCTATACCTGAACCAGGAGGCTGTTGTACAAATAGAGCAGGGGAGAACTGCATGGTTTGGAATTGGGAAAGGAGTGTGCCAGGGTTGTATTCTCTCTCCACAACTGTTCAGTCTGTATGCTGAGCAAATTATCCGACTCTAAGAGGAGGAATATGTCATCAGGATTGAAGGAAGACTCATCAGTAACCTGCATTATGCAGATCACACACACACACACACACACACACACACACACACACACACACAAATGAGGAGGACTTGAAGCACTTGTTGCAGAATATCAAGGAATGCAACCTTCGTTATGGATTGCATCTCATTGTCTGGAAAATAAAGATTCTTACCACTGGAGCAGTAGTCAGCATCATGATGAATAGAGAGGAGATTGAAACTATCAACAGCCTCATCTTTCTTGGATCCACTAGCAGTCATGAAATAAGGAGATGCATTACATTGGAAAAATCTTCAGTTAGGGACCACTTCTAATTATTGAGGAGTAATGATGTCCGTTTGAGGACTAAGCTGCATCTGATGCAGGTCATAGTCTTTCTGGTTACTTTTTATGCATCTGAGAGCTAGAAAACAAATAAGGATGACAGAAAAAGAATTGACACCTTGGAACTGTGGTGTTGGAGAAGACCACTGAACATCCCAGGGACAGCCAAGAGAACAAACAGATACGTCTTGGAGAGGGTGCAGCTAGAGTGCCTCATACACTTCAGGCATGTTGCTAGGAGGGGTTTTTCCTTGGAGAAGGAAGTGATGCTGGGAAGGGTGGAGGTTTGGAGAAGGAAAGGAAGACCCTCAGCCAGATGGATTGACACGGTGGGTGACTCCTGCAATATGCTCTTGTGTGTCAAGAAGTGTAAGAGGTGCAGGATGGAACAGGGTTCACACCTTTTGTTTATAGGGTCTCTATCAGTTGTACTCAACTCGACAGCATCCGACAAAAACAACATACTTCATTATCTGCTTGCTTTTCGATAATTGACTGATTTAGGGGTGGGGATGATCATTTTACTAATTTTAAATTATCCATTGATAATTTGTTAAAGATAACTGACTTAATGTCCGTGAGCTGAGCTGATGATATTTGTTCCAATTGGACATTTGTTATTTAAGTATATACTGTGTTTGTTTTTGGTAAGGGTTAGATTTCATGTGTTAGACATAGCATTGGATTATATATTAAAACATATAACATGACTATTTTTAAAAACTAAAGCCTTTAATATGTCTGGACTTTTTCATTCTAATTCCTAGACACAGTGAAGACGATTACATGTTCGAGTACTTTGATCTGCCGTGTAGATTCTGAACTTGAGTCAGCATTGGCACTACATGACTGCGCTTTCCTGTCTTGACAGAACCTGGGGTCGCTGTTCTCCATCCGGGTAGTGGGACTCTCCCTCACCTGCAGCTACTTGTCCCCACAGGATGGTCAGCCCCTCTGTCACTGGGCAGTCGACAGGTAAGGGATTATCCCTTAACCGGGGAGAGAACAGACGTCCTCATTTGAGTCTGAAACTTAGAGTCTATAGAAGTACATAAGCGTAGAAGCATGTGTATGACTTTGCGGCAGTGTACCAAGAAATACATAAACATAAACTGAGGCTGTGTATTAGTATAGTTGGTTACCGTGCTGGTTAGTCTTGATCATTTGCCTCATTGCTGTCAGCTGCCATGTTATGTGCTTGTACACATTGATTGTTTTTTAACCCACCTCTAGAAAGGCCCATAGCAATGACTGCCTAACACATTTGGTATTCCTTTGTTGCTGTTGTCATTAAGGCCCATCGACTGACAACTCGTAATGACAGTATGAACCACAGACAGACACCTTATCCCATCCCATGACCACCTCATGGGCTCTGCCATGCCTGAGTCCATGGTTACAGCCACTGTGTCATTCCATCTCATTGAGTCTTCTCTTTCCTGGCAACTCCACCTTTCCCAGCAGGAGGTCTTTTCTAAGGACTGGTCCCTCCTGACCACATACCCACAATATGTGAGGTGAAGTTTAACCTCCTGGCCTTTAAGGAGCACTCTAATTGCACTTCATCCAAGACAGATTTGTGTGTGGTTTTGACCAGCACCACAATTCAAAGGCATTGGGGTATTCCTTTAGCACCTACCAGACCAGAATCACTGTGTCAAGTCAATTCTGTCTCCGAGTAGAACTGCCCATTGGAGTTCTTAGGCCGTAACTCATTATGGAAGCAGAGTGTTCTTCCTGGGGAGCAGTAGGCAGATTCAAACCAATGACCTTTTGCTTGGTAGTAAACGCCATACAGAGCATCACCAGACCATCACCAGAGCTCCTTCCTTTAGCACCAGAGGGGAATGAACACTCAGCGTGGCATTCAGTGCTGAGTATCTGTGTCACGTGTTCCCTTGGTACCTGGGGCTGCCACGGGGGACTTGACTTGCGTTCCTGTAGTTACCAGGCCCTCAGACAGCCCACTCCCATGGAACTGAGACTGAGCAAGCCCACAGGCTTCACCTGAACAACATCTAAGAAGTGGCTCTGCTCTGTAAATTCATTTTCCCCGTTTGCAGGCCTCCCTCCCTCTTTTGTTGTGAAAATGACTTAGCACGATCTTTAGGTCAAGAGACCTTGGTTTTGCAGACTGTGTGATTCTGGTTGGGAGGCCAGTGCTCGGGCAGCAGGATGCTCTGTGTTTGCTGATGGGCTTCCTTACTCTCCACTCAGGGCTCTGCACCTCAGGAAGCTGGGTGGCCCCCCCCACATCAAGCTGGCAGTGGAGTGGGATAGCTGTACCAAAGAGCGGTAAGTTCAACTGAGTTCTCTCCTTCAAAGGAGTCCTTGCCTACACAGATATGACTTCCTTGAGCGCAGCTTTCCCAGCATGAATTGTAGGCAATGTGCACATACTCTAGCCCTTCTAACCCACCCATCTTATTTTTTTTTAATTGCATGTCTTTATTAGTTTGCATACAGCGTACATTGTGCTTCATGCATGTGCATTGTGGTTGTGGGGGGTTTTTATTTTATACTGGTTTCTTTACAAAGTTCATATACATTGTTTTTCACATCAGATCTTGGATATTTCCCATTTCCTTAACCCACCCTTCCCTCCACCCATCAAATTGTGTGATCCTATGATTACAACCTCCGCCCATCCTCACCTCTCTGCTCCCACCCTCTCCATGTACATTGTTTTATACAATGTTTTTCTTTCAGTTACACCATATTTCACTCATATGTATTGTGATGTTTCCCCCCTTACAATCATCTTACTAATAATTACATTTGTGAAATCATATAATCCAGCTACTTCATGCTTCATGCCTTTTTATCCACATTGTAGATAGCCAGTTTCTGATTTGCCTATCCCTATCAAACCAGCACTGTGAGGGATCAAACACATTCCTTTTACTGAGGAAATTTCTGTTCAGTTTGGAAGCTTTGAGCATCCGTGTCCACAAGTGTCCATCCTTTTGAGATGCCCCTGGGAGAGTCATGATGCTGATGGTAGTTACACTTTTAGGGATGGTGATGAGGGACAGTGAGGTGGCTCTTTCCCTTTGGCCAGCTCTGCTCTGGGCACTTGCCTTGTCATTGTGCTGTCCAGTTTGTCCTGACTCATGGTGTCATCATACATGACAGACAGAAATGCTGCCCAAACCAGCTCCACCCCCCTGACCGGGCAGAGATTCCTGAGTAGATTGCTAGGTCTTTCTCCTCTTTACTTGGAAACTCTGCTGTAACCAGCTCAGCCCTGGCACGTGGGTGGGGCTGCATTGGCCGGGAATTGAAACTGGGTCTCTCACATCGAAGGTGAGAATTCTGCTGCTGACCCCCCACCCCCCCGCCCCCGCCCCCCTGAACACTATACATACGTACATACTTGTAGCCTTTACTTCATTTTCATTACACATGATATAGTAAACCCAGACAATGCTGCCCCCACTGAGTCCATTCTCTGTCAGCTTTCTGAGGCTGCAGACCACCGACCTTTAGTTTCTGTGCAGCATGCGACCGCCTCTGCCGCCAGGGCTTCTGATGAAGTGAGGCACTGCTGTGGTCTGGTTTTCGCTGACACAGGGAGGTTAAGGAGGTGCTCAGCTTGTTCGTGGTAAAAACTGAAATCTGAAGCCAGGCTGTCTGCTCTTGATCATCATGCTTTGGGGTCTCTATAGCAGCCAACTTTGAAAAAAGACTTTTCTTGGTCCAGCAAATACTGATCTAGAAGGGGTCAAGCCTTGTAGGGCACAGGGAAGATGAAGAAGCCAAGGAGCTTGTGTCCCGAGGAGCTGGTCTGGGAGACAGAGGGCTCACAAAGAGAGTGAGTCCTGAGTCAGATGTAAGTGCAGGCCCCTCAGAAGCCCTTGGACCAGGTGTGCCTTCATCTCACCTCGGATGGCTGCCTTTCTCCTGCTAGAGGTAGAACTTAGATAAACTGCTCTTGGGGCTACAAAGCAACCCTGTCCTTGGGCTCTCTTTCCCCACAGCCTGTTCGGGGGCCCTCCAGGAGGAGCGGGTCCAGGATGCAGAGAGTGTGGGGTAGCAGCAGCAGCAGGTGTACCAGTAGCCCAGCTGCACCGTGGACCAGTGCTTCCAGTTCTACACCAAGGAGGAGCAGGTCCAGCCCTGGCCCTCAAGGGCAGGGAGGGGGCTGGCTGCTGCAGGGGGTGGGCCATCTGCCAGGGGCCCTCACTGTCCTGGCGGCCTCCTTTCCAGCTGACCCAGGATGATACGTGGAAGTGTCCCCATTGCAAAGTCCTCCAGCAGGGGACAGTGAAGCTAAGCCTGTGGACCCTGCCTGACATCCTCATCATCCACCTCAAGAGGTTCTGCCAAGTCGGCGAGAGGAGAAACAAGCTCTCCACACTGGTGAGGTTTCCGCTCACCGGCCTCAACATGGCCCCCCATGTGGCCCCGAGAAGCGCTGGCCCCCGGCCCGGCCTTGGGCCCTGGCCTTCCTGGAAGCAGCCGGTGTGCCTGCCCAACGGATACCCGCTGGACTTCCTGTACGACCTGTACGCCGTCTGCAACCACCACGGCAGCCTCCAAGGTGGGCATTACACAGGTGAGCCTCATCTCTGGGAGCGGCAGTGTGACCACCTGTGGGACTGTGGGGTGAACACGGGGCACCAGGGGAAGAACCTAGAACCCAAGCTTATTCGGGCCCTTGGCTTGAGCTGAGTGCTCACTGCACAGGTGCCTGGAGAGAGAGAGAGGAGACCTAAGCTGGCGCAGAGCAAGGCTTGTGGTCGTTAGAATTCATTCCAGCTGAATGAAGCGATATACACTGCCCAGCAGTTGTTGGAGCTGAGAGGGTGGCATTTGTCTTCACTTGTGACTCAATGAAGGAGACGAGGTCATCTGATTTGATGGTTTGGCTTGTATGTTGAGTTAATGTTGAGTTGCCTGTGATTCATGGTGACAGAAGAAAACACTGGCCAGTCCACAACCATCCTCATGATACTCACACTCGAGTCCATGGTCTCTTTACAAATTTGAGAGCTCCTCTTCCAGCCCTGGACGGTTCTCTCTGTGAGTCGTAGGGTTTAGATCAGACAGTATTCTCTGTGAGTTGTAGGGTACACATGGGCTAATTTGTGGAAGGAGATCACCAACCCTGGTCTTCACCTGGAAGCTCTGCTTAAATCTCTCCCCCCTGGGTGGCCCTTCTGGTATTTGAAATCCTGGTGATGGAGTGGACAGCATTGTGGCTCATTCAGGCCACCACAGTCCTCATGGACGGTGATTCAGTTTGGTTATTCTGTGGTACGTGTTGAATCCCTTTGGGTCGCTTTAGAAAGACAGAAACAAGTAGTTGAGTTAAGGGTTCTGAATTGTGTCAAGTTATCCTTTTAAGGACTGAAGAGAGAGTGTTGTGAGTGGCCGTTTTTCTCAGTTACTTGTTTCCTTGTTTCTTCTACACTCCCATAGTGATATGATGAAGCTCTGTGAGAGCTGCATGTAAACAGCAGCTGCTGCCAGTGGTGGTGGAGTGTAACCACTGCACAGACTGTAGTGGAGACAGAGCCTTCTGACTCCGAAAGGTTTGGGCATCGTCCCTGCCAGTGAAGGAGAGCCCCCCCATGAGGAGAGAGCAGAAGCTGCAGTACCAAGCAGGGGTCTCAAGACTGGACAGTGAGGCGTTCAGAGGGTGGAGTGATGCCGGATCAGCCTGGAATGGTCAGGACGGTGTGAGCGAGCAGCTATCACTTCACAGGCAGCCGTTTTGTGCTACTGTGTTGCGACTTGTTCTTCTGCAGCTGCTGGTTCTGGTCTTCTGGCCCCTCATGGACCCTGGGTTTTCCTTTTGTCCGGTGCTGGGGCCCTGGGAAGAAAGAGCAGAGCCCATGTTGCAGGACTGTGTGTTCAACAGGAGAGGTGGGCTGCATGGAACCTTCCTAAAATGACACACTCTGCTGGGGTTTAGCCACCGTGGTCCAGGATACGAGACTGTGCAGAAATGAGGGGAGTAGGTGTGAAACTCAGACTTCAACCTCTAGGCTGTGAGACATGCGCACTGAGTTTTCTGTTGCCCAGGAAGTTCTTTTCTGTCCAGTGACTCTCTCCACAACTTCTTTGATTTGCATGATAATTCTGGGATATTTATGACTGAGCCTCAGATGAGTCACTTGCTTCTCACACTGCAGCCCCTCAGCAATTAGTACATCCACATAACATGCATTTTACATAATTCCCCTTATAACCCACTACTGTCCAAATGATCCCGACCCATAGTGACCCTCCATTAGGTCTCCAGGGATGTAAATCTTTATGGGGGGTGGGGGGGAACTGCCCATCGTTCTTCCACAGAGTGGCTGGTGGATTTGAACCACCTGCCTTTTGGTTAGCAGCTCAACACTTAACACACGACACCACTAACCACCTAAGGTTCCTTCTAATTGCCATCAGTTGATAGTTTTTAAAAAACTGTTACCCCATTCAGTATGTCATAAATTTTAAATGAGGTCAAATAAAATACCACCTATCTAAACAAGTCGTGTAAATGATGAATTGTATCATGACCCAGAATGCTCCTCCATTTATATGCACGAGTGTGTGTGGGAGAGTTTGTATATAAAAATGTACAGCTAGTTACCACCCTAAGACAGGGAGTCCTTTTGAAGCCAGTTATGACATAAGACAAATATCTCATTTAAAAATGATTGCCTTGTGTTAGCAGTAGTTTCATAAATCACAACATTGAACATCTGTGAGTAAACATCTGAGAATCATAACAGCAAATTAGGCCACAGTGTCACAGGTGGTGCACATTACTGATGACCAGACATGGAAAGAATCAAAGAAAAACAAAAAGATCAGAAAGTCATAAATATGCTTCGTTGTAAATAGTGATAATAGGGACTGTCTACATATACAAACACAAACTAAACAAATGTTTGAAGAATAGTTGTTCTTATTGTATTTAATGCATCATGGACTATTCTATTCTACAACAACTAAGACTATTTTACTTTTAAGGAGACCTTTACAATGTTTATGTGCATTTGGTTATACTTGATTATGTAAGTAATATAGATGTGCACTTGGAAGATTCTCTCAAGAAAGAGAGGGATACTACAGAATTTCTGGCTGGATGATACGGGACTCCCTTCTATTGGAGATGTTCACCGAGCAAGAGCTACAAAATAAGCCTTTGATTTAAAAGAATATAGGAATGGATCAGTGAGACCAGGGGAGCATAATTTGTGGATCATTTTCAATCCCAGAGTTCACCTGTGGCCACACACAGGCTGACTTCTTGTTGCTCGCAAGCAGGTCTGTGTTTCCTCTGTGTGTTGGTGAGCAGCTCCCTATCTGTCTGGTTCCCATCACTGAGGCTCGGGGTTTGGCTTTTGCAGCCTACTGCCGGAACTCTGTGGACGGCCAGTGGTACAGCTACGATGACAGCGCGGTGGAGCCGCTGCGAGAGGATGAGGTCAACACCCGAGGGGCTTACATTCTGTTTTATCAGAAGCGAAACAGCATCCCTCCCTGGTCGGCCAGCAGCTCCATGAGAGGTAGGAGAGAGGAAATTGGGAAGTCATGTAAGGAAATGGTAAGATGCTCCCTCAAACATGAAGGATGCATGGCAGGGAAGGGTCAGAGACGAGGGGCCAGTTGTTGTTGTAGAGGTCCTAGGCCGCAGCCCAGATTCCTGTTTGCAAGGATGTGTGTGGACACATTGAAATCTGAAAAAAGTCATCATTTGTACCTGAGGTGACGCTTGGCAATGTGGAATTCTATATTCCCAGTCCTATGCATTTCAGCCCAGATTTCATGAAACCATCAGTATAAGCTAAGGAGTTCCCTGGATGGCGGGAGGGATTACAATGAGCCAGTGTAGACTCTGGAGCCCAGTGCTGCTGTGACGTGTGGGGCCGCTGTGAGCCACATCGGCTCCACCACAGCGGAATAGATAAGGGCACCCGCTCTGGTCCTTCTGGAGAGAGACAGGTGGAGTGAGGCGGGGCCTTTTCTAGGACATGGAGCTGCTTTACCACATCCAATGATACTTTCATTAGATTATAAAGTCCTCTGGGTGTGGGGTGGGGAGAAGGTCTAAACATGACCTTCCTGTGTGATTTGTTTCACTCCACAAAGCAGCCTACTTTGAGAAGAAGGGACATTTTTTTCTTTCATACTTATATTTTGTTCCCAAACATATCTGGAAAAATAGTAAAATAAAACTAAGAGTCCCTGACAGGTGTAAATCAAACCACAAGCAAAGTCCGGCTTTCTTTAACAGAAAATGATTGTCAGAAGAAGGATGGAAAAGATGCCCCATTGATTACTGGTGACAAGTCATTTCTTGAAAGCATTTCGGTGACCAGCAGCCTGAGTGCCTTTTTTTGTGCTCAAACGGCCTCCCTCGGTTGTCAGGCTCAGTCACATGAACAACTAGGTGCAGGTCAGACCCGTTACTGTGGACTTGACTCAACTCTTGATGACCCCACGTGCATCAGGGGAGACTTGTGCTCCAGAGGATTTTCAGAGAAAGGTTTTTCATAAGCAGGTTGCGAGGCCTTCATTCTAAAGTGCCTCAGGTGAACTCAAATCTTTTCCTTAGCAGCTGAATGGGTTAATTAACCTTTGGTACCAACCTGGGGTTTGATCAGTGACAGGTTAGTGTGTTATTGTGCAATTCTTTTGTAATTCTCTTGATTCCAGGGCTCTGAGTTGGGGGTTTGGGTGTGAATGGGGCCAGCTCTCATTGTGGTCTCCCTGCCATCTGTGTCCCCTGCAGGCTCCACCAGCTCCTCCCTGTCTGATCACTGGCTCCTGAGGCTCAGCAGCAACAATGGCAGCACCAGGGGAAGCATGAGGTCCTGGAGCCCCACCCCCTCCCCCTCCCTGCCCCCCATGCCAGACTCACTTGTCTTCACAAACAGCCACTTCCATCAGGAAAAGGGTACATTTACCAAGTTGGTCAAAATTGCTGAATTCATTGTCCTTTTCTACAAAAGCTCTCAGTTATTTCCCATTTTAAGAAAGTGTCTGCATTTTACAGCTTTGGGTATAAAGAATCAGAGAGCTCTGGTGGCCTAGTGTGTATGGAGTTGTGTTACCCACCCAAATCCACCAATTGGACCATTCAGATCCTCAGGAGAAAGATGTTCAGTCTCCTGTGGTGTAATTTTAGCCCCTGAAAGCCCACTGGAGGGTCAGCTGTGTCTCCTTTCCAACTTAATGACACATAACATCAACAACAACATTAAGAATCAGTTATTAGATGAGGTTCAACTCTCAAATATGGTCTTCGCCTATTTACTCTGGGCACAGATTTGCTCTTTCTCTGTTCTTTCAATTTCGTAGTGCTGCTATAAGAGAACAGAGAAGGAGTTTCTGGCTTTAAGAACACACATATATTGTCTCTCAGCACTGGTGGCCAAAAGTCCAAAGCAGGGTCTTGGCGGAGTTGGTTCCTTCCTTGTCAGGAGCCTTGGACACTCCTTGGTTCCTTTGCGTGCTTGGCCTAGAGAAGAGCCTCTCATGGCATCTGTCCTCCCCGTGTGTGTGTGCACGCACATGCATGCTACAGTTTCACAACTCAGAAATGGTTACGTTTAAAATCCACCCCTCACTGGTATGACTTCAACAGAGCAATCACATCACATTAGATAACAAAGGACAAATATGTGTTTTTGTTGTTGTTGTTTACATACCTTCAACTTGGAGCCAACTCCTATCTGACCCTCAGTGGGTTTTCAGAGGCAGTAAATCACATGACAGGAGACTGATCATTTTTCTCCCAAGCAGAAATTTAACCTCATTTAAACTGCCTGCCTTTGCTTGGCAACACAACTCCTTACCCCCAAGGCCAACAGAGCTTCCTTGACAGTATTCCCTTGTTGTGCTGTCACATGCTGTCAAGTTGAATACGGCCCGTAGCAATCCTGTGAACAATAGATCTGAACCTTGTCTTGTCCTGTACCATCCTCACAATCTCTGGACACTTGAGCTCGTTGGTGTACTCACTGTGTCAATTCATCTGATTGGGCTCCTCCTCTCTTTTGAGACGGACAGCACTGAGAAAATCTGTAGTCAGGGACCTGTTGAAAGTACTAATGAGCAATGATGTCAATTTGAGGACCACTGTGCACCTCATTCAGGCTTTGGTCTTTTCAGCCACTTGTTATGCATCTGAGAACTGGACGGAGAGTAAGGATGACAGAAGAATTGATGCCTCTGAGCTGTGGTGTTAGAGAAGAGTACTGAATGTCCCATGGATGGCCAAAAGAACAAACATATGTTTTAGAGAAGGCGCAGCCAGAGTGTTCCTTGAAGGCAAAAATGATAGAGCTTCATCTCACATACTTTGGGCATGTTGCTAGAATAGGCTGTTACTTGGAGGGGAACATCATGTTTGGAAAGGTGAGGTCTGGTTAAGAGAGGAAGACCCTCCACCAGGTGGATTGACATGGTGACTGCAGATATGGGTTCAATTATGTCAGAGATTGTGAGGATGGTGTGGTTAAAGATAGGGTCCAGATTTGCTGTTCATGGTATTGTTGTGCGCCATACTTGACTGTAGAGCATCTAACAACAGCATTGCCTTGAACAGATTTCAGCAGAGCTTCTAGATTCAGATTATGAAGAAAGCATGCGTAATCTCTTCTTAAAGTCAGCCAATGAAAACGTACCATGAATCCACCACTATTTTGGGGGAGGACACTGATGCTGGTTGCTTGGCTGGCGTCAGCTGTCAGACAGGTCCTCAGGGTGGGGACTCAGGCCTCTTGCTGCCTGTGAGTGTGGCCTGGGCTTCTTTCTGTGAGCCCCTGCCATGCCCACCGATCAGCACCTGCTAGTGTCCCTGTGAGATCACAGGTTTAGGAACTGGCTGTAAAACTATGATATAAGCCAGACCCTGACTTTAGTGATGACAGTGGACATACTTTTTCCAAAAAGGGGCTGCTCTTTCTGTGGGAGTAGAAAGTAACCAGTCCCAACCCTCTGGGCATGCGCTATCTTTTCAGTGAGCAATTGAAAATGCTTTTATTGAGTGCAGGGATGTCCCCTCACTGGGCTCAGCATGGTGATGGCCTGCTTGCAGTTAAAGTGGGGTGTTCCTGGGGACTCCCTGCATCCTGTCCAATCAGATGGAAGTTCACTGAGGCAGTTGCCTGCAAGCAGTGGGCGGTTGAGGTCCTGACCTCTCTGGTGTGGACGCCCTAATGCTGGTAGAACTTTTCTCCTTCTCTTTTGTGGGAGGTAAGCCCTGCCTGGCTGGGTGACAATGCTGATTACAGATTACCAGGTCCTCATGTGCCTTCACTCTCCTTCATGCCCGACCTTGCTTTCAGTAATTTACCCTAAATTACAGGATGCTCAAAATTGCCCTCGATTGGGATTTTTGGTAAACTTTTTGTGACCCTACAGGAAAAGCTGTAGGTTGCTTATCTGACTACTTTGCCAACCCCCTGGAGCCTGAGTTTTAGAAGGAGGAAGGAGGAGGCTTTTCTTCCTAGTTCATTGTGATTTGAAAGCTCCACTGAAACCAGTGTCGTAGCAACACACAGCCTCCACTGACAGGTGGGGGGGTCTATGTGAGGTGCATCAGAGGGGAAGTGCCACCCAGCCCCGAACCGCCAGCCCCTCGTGCCTAGAATCCCAACAAACACGAACAATGTGTTTTACCGAGCCCACGACCACTCACAGGACTCCCCGATGTTGCAGAGTAGAATGCCCCTTGGGGTTTCTTGGCTTTAATCTTTCTGGAGGCTGGTCTCTAGGTTTCCTGGTGCTCTGCATTGTGCGTGCCAACTGCCAGCCTTTAGGTCATCAACCTGTCCTAGCCACGCAGGGCCCCTTGCTCAGGACGAGATCTGATATAACAACAGGTGCACAGTGGGCATCTGCCAGATGAACAGCATCGTGGCAGTCACACTTTCCCGGACGGCATTCTCTGGATACTCATGTCTTGCCATCTTTCTCAGCAGGACTGGAGTCCAGGCTGTTGTCACAGGGCATCCGAGGTCGAAGCATCAGCATGAAGGCACCCGCCTCCTCCCGAGCCAAGCATGGAACCTTCAAGACCATGCCCCTGCGGTGGTCTTTTGGAAACAGGGGGAAAGCAGGCCGAAGGGCCTCCGTGGAGCTGGTGGAATACTTGGAGTCCAGACGGAGACCCCGATCCACAAGTCGGTCCATCGTCCCTCTGCTGACTGGTGCCTCAGGCGGGGAAGAGAGGCCAATGGTACCGAACCCAATCGCCACTGTCCACAGGGACAATGAAGGGAGTGTGCGAGCCAGTGTGTACACCTCAGCTCACCCCAATCACTGTCCAGTCCCTGGACATTCAGAAGGCCTAAATGCTGCAAGGAAAGGAAAGGAAATCCCAAACCAGGACATTAGACTGCCCAGGAGGTGGGACTTGCCCCTCACTGTGGCGTCCTCAGTGGAGAGTGAGAAGCCGACCCAGGCCGAAGGCCAGAAGGTCAGAAACTGCACTGCTAGGGGCCATCTGGGAAGTGGCAGCGGTGTGTCCTTGCCCAAGGAGCCGCCCAGCACTACAGGCTTATCTAGATATAGTAAGGACAGTTGCAGGAATCCAGGCACCAAGATGAAGGCTAATGCTGAGGAGAGGCACTTGGAGACAGACACATCTCAGCAGCGCACACTCACACTCCTGAGGTCCATGTTTTTTAAGAAGGAAACCAAGAGGAGGGGTGACCAGGCAAAGGTTTCCCTCCAGGCGTCCTCAGGGGCCCTGGTGCACAGCGGACCTGGCACAGTTTCCCTGCAGGTCGGAGAGAGCCCAGCGCCAGACACTCTGGAGAGGCATGTGCGCTCTGCGCCCAGCTCCTTCAGGCTGCCCCGGAAAGCCAGGCCCGCTCGGGCCAGCACACAGGGTGCCTCGCAGTGCAGCATTCCTGAGGATCAGGCTGCTCATGGTGCTTTGCAGAGGGTCAAGTACCACACGCTCTCCTTAGCCCATAAGAAGACATTACCAGAGTCTAGTTTTTGAAAGCACACTGTGGTGAAATGGACTGGCTTTCTTGGAACGTTGCACTGAGCTGCTCTGATTGTGGGAGTGCACCAGCAGGACATACTGCATTGAGAGTAAGGGCTTTTGGTAGGTTTTTTTCCCTCCCACTTCTAGACTTCCAGCACCTACTGTCTAAATATCCGATGTCCATAACCTTCCTGTATTGTTGGGTACTTTTCTACTGCTCTGGTGGCCTAGACCTTAGGGAGTTGTACTGATAACCAAAAGGTGGCATGTCTCCACGGGTTCTAATTCACCGGCTGCTGTGTGGGAAATACACTCACAGAATGTACAGCTTTGGAAAACTGCTGGAGGGTTTTCCACTCACTTCCTACTCAGTGAGACTTGGAATTTTTTTTTTTAAACCAAATTGTCCAGGCCACTGGAGGGTGCTGCGTGGTCAGCATTGCCATTTCAGGGCCAAAACTTGGACTTTTTTCATTCTGAGATGTGAATACCAAAGATCCTGCTATAGAAATACATTTGCACCTAACTCTGGTTGAGCCTAATTAAAATTTTTATTATTTTTGTTATGTCAAGTATTTTCATTGAATATTCCTTAAAAACTCTTTTTAAAGTATTGATTAATTTAGAATGGTTTCCTAAGGCCTTCTCTGAGAAGCCCATTAAAGAGGCAGAGAAAGGAAATGGATTTTAAGCAGAATTCCAGGAGAGAGATGGAATATAAATGATTGCGGTTTTTGAGAATAATA